GGGGACAGCCTCCGGAAAGGGTTTGTCGCCGCCGCTGGCATCGCGGCCGCCCTCCGGACCTGCTCAGTGGCTGCCACTGCCTTCCCAGTGGTCGGCCTCCAGAACTGTTTCCACGTCGCCGCCGTTGCCGTGTGCACGGTCGGCCCCCAGAACTGTTTCCCGTCGCCGCCGTTGCTGTGTGCACGGTCGGCCCCCGAACTGTTTGTCCCGTCGCCGCCGTTGCTGTGTGCATGGTCGGCCCCCTGACTGTGTTATGGACTAGTGAACAGTCGTGTTTTGGTTCTGGACTCTCGTGCTCCTGGTTTTTTGTGTTTCGGGCCCTCCTTCCTGGGCCCCCTCCGCCCGCCCTGGCTTGGTGCTTGTGCTTTTTGTTTGGGGCTGTCGGGAGCCAGCCCTTTGAGGGGGGGTACTGTCACGGTTCTGGGTCCGTTGGACCCAGTATTTTGAGTTTATTGTATTTTGGTTTTAGTTTACTTCATGGGATTGTTTTCTTGTTCTCTTGTTGTGTTTATGATGTTTATTATTTGAGTTCATGTTTAAGGATTTGTTCTCCTGTTGTATCTCACGTTTAGTTTAGTTCAGGTTCCATGTGTCATTCTGTCTGTCTCTCAGTGTCAGGTCTGCGTCTTGGTGTGGTGTTCTCATTTCCTGTTCTATTGTGAAGAATAGAATAGAATAGAATAGCCTTTATTGTCATTGTACAGAGTACAACGAAATTGGAGTGCCACTCCCTTGGTGCAAGTTTCAATAATAAATATAAATGTAAAATATAAAAAGTACAAAAAAACAATCGTAAGTACTCAAACAATAGTATGTACAATATATACAGGATAGCAGCATTAATATAATGACAGTATGAATAGCAGCATAATATAATGACAGTGACGGTATGGAATAGGTTCAATTGTTTTTGTGCTTATTTACTACGGTGATAGCTCTGGGAAAGAAGCTATCCCTGAATCTGTTTGTCCTGGTTTTATGTGACCTGTACCGTCGGCCTGACGGTAATAGTTCAAACAGTTGGTTGCTGGGGTGAGAGTGGTCCTTGATGATATTGCCAGCTCTGCTGAGGTACCGAGAGTTTGCATGACCTCCAGGCTGGGCAGAGAGCAGCCAGTGATCTTCTGGGCTGTGTTGATGACCCTCTGCAGTACTTTCCTGTCTGCAGCTGAGCACCCTGCATACCATGTTGTTATGCCGTACGTTAGGATGCTCTCTATGGTGGCTCTGTAAAATGTCACCAGCAGCCTCTCCTCCAGGTTGTTCCTCCTGAGCACTCTCAGAAAGTGGAGACGCTGCTGGGCCTTTTTAACCACCGCTGTAGTATTTGCAGTCCAGGAGAGGTCATCAGATATCTGCACGCCCAGAAACCTCATGGAGTGTACCCTCTCCACACAGCTCCCGTGAATGTAAAGTGGGGCCGGGTCTGCTCTGCCCTTCCTGAAGTCCAAGATAAGTTCTTTAGTTTTCGTGGTGTTCAGTTGGAGGTTGTTAACTGAACACCACTCAGTCAGTCTGTTGACCTCATCTCTGTAGTCCGACTCATCCCCCCTTGAGATGAGTCCAACCACTGTGGTGTCATCCGCGAACTTTATGATGGTGTTTGAGAGATGGGTAGGGGAGCAGTCGGATGTGTAGAGCGTAAACAGGAGGGGACTCAAAACACATCCTTGTGGAGACCCGGTGCTGAGTGTGATGGTGCTGGACCGGTGGGTCTGGGTCTGGGTCTGGGTCTCATGTAGTGTGTTCAGTTTTACCTTTGTCTCGTCTTGTTGATCACTCCCAGCTGCGTCCACCACCTGTGTGTAATTCCCCTGTGATTCTCGGTGTATTTAAGTCATGTCTTCCGTCATTGTAGTTGCTGGTCCGTCTGTGTATTCCACCCTGCGTCATCTGTGTGTTTCCCTGCTGTCAACCGCCAAGTGTTTCTGCTCATGTTCAGGTTCGTGTTCTGTAGTTTAGTTTGTTCCCAGTCTAGTTAGTCATAGCTCCCTTTGCCGTTTGTATTTACTTTCATGCTCAATAAACCACCTTCACACCTTCACGACTGCCTGCGTTTGGATCCTCCTTCATTTCCTCCACACGGCTCACCTCACTCGCCGTGACAATTCTACTATACTTGTGAGAACCAACAATCACTTGTGAGGACACACTCACCGGTCCTCACAAGTTTGAAGCCCTTTTTGTTTATCAAAAAGGCTAGGGAAACTATTATGTAAATGAAGATCCTCACTAAGATAGCTGAACGGACTTGCGTGTGTGTGTGTTATCTTATGTGATGTGTTTTCAACATTTGTCCAAGATAAATTCAGAGACAGTAAAGGGTAATCTAAAAAAAAAGAAGAAATGGAATGCACTTGTTTTGTCCGGATGTACTCATTTTAAGGATTCATAGATTCAAAAGGGTGACAGGAAGGAAAACAACACAAAGAACACTCACAAGTGCTCTAATTGTATACCATGTCCCTTTTCAACATTAGAAATTTGATCTCTGCCTTTTCTTTATTTCAGCAGAGAATAAAAACTGGCTGGGCTGAACGGTGTCATGAGGAATTTTAATACCAGAAGTTTCACTTTATTTATTTATTTATTTCAAGAGAATTCAACACCAACTCGACGTTTGTCTGGAATGATCTGCAAATGTAAAAGACGCATTTGTAAGTTTAGCCAAATCAATTTTTATCTTCATTTTGGCCTAATATCAGATATTTTATCTCGATATTTTATACATTAAATTCTAGTTTGATGCCAAGAATTTGTAATTTTATTTTCCTGAAACATTGTTATTAATAGCCATTTACAAAATCATAATTCAAAAGTAGATTAAACACACTTTTTTCCATCTTTAATACTTTAATCATTTATGTGAATGTGTTTGGAATTTTTTTCTTAACAATATTATTTTTAAACACAAAACACCCAAAGTGACGAAAATTAAAAGCCATTAGAAGAGTTACTTTGTCCAAATGTATTTACAGTATCCAATTAACATGATAGAGCTCTTTTTTATAAAGATTAAACCCAGAACAATATAAAATTATTCCATAACAGTCCATGGAAATAGAAAATATAGTACAACATGTATAGTACAACAACTCCAGGAACTCACTCTGCAGGTGGGGGAGATATAGGAGAGGTGGAGGACGAACTCAGCCTGGGTATCTATTGTTTTGTGTAGTCTGGAAGATGAGTGGATGACGGGGTGGGTGCAGTTTTCTCTGTGGTGGGGTTGGGTGGTGGGGCCGGGCGGCACTGCTGAACTGGGCCCCGGTCCGGATGGGCCTGGGCCCCCTTGCCCTGGTGGGTTGAAGAGTATGGGGGTGCCTACTGGTGTCAGCGAGGGAGCTGGCCCCTCCCTTCCTTCCCTCCCTATCTCCAGCTGCCTCCCTGAAGGAGGAGTTGGCCGTCTGATTGGGATCTGGAATGTGGGGCCTCCCTGCTGCTGCAGAGTCGGGGCGGTCTGCTTCTCTCCACCCCAGGGAGGAGGGTAACACTACTTGGGTTTGAGTGCAGTTTCCCCCTCCAGGGGCAAGGGTACCTAGACCTGGGGCTTAGAGTACGCTTGGGGAGTGTGATTGTGTGTACAGTGTTTCTCTATGTCTGTCTCCACGTTGGGTGAGTGCTGAGTTATTGCATATGAGAGCATGAGGGTGGGAATGGATGTTTGTATCTGTGTGTGCCTGTTTGTCTGTGTCTATATGTGAGGTTGGGTATCAGACGCCACCTCTCTAGGGACATCTCAGGCCCTCCAAGGTATGGAGGCCTATCTCCCCCCACCACTTCCCCTGCCAGTGGCAGGCGCCCTCAGACATTGGTGCGTTGGTGGGTTTTGTGTCTGGGGATGGGCGTCCAGGTACACACCGGCTCACTCCTGGTGGCTGCTTGTCGGGTCCTGGAGCCAAAGGTGACTCAAATAGACCAATACGGCAAGGCTGGGATGGTCCATTTGGTAAAGTAAATCTGTTGGGCATCTTTCTTTGCCTTTAAACAATAATTCTGATGGCAAAAGAACCAAACGGCACAGGCGGGGGGGGATTTTATTGTCAAGTAGTGAAACTTCAGCAGTTAACCTGTTCAATAAAGTTTCCCTGGAAGCTCAAATCTTGGCTGGTTTAATAAGGAAAGAGAGCTAGCCAGCCACTGTGCTCATTACACACAGACAGAGGAAAGTTCAGTTTCTTCTTTTCCAAACCAAAATAATACATCAGTCTGAAAATTGTTGTTTACATGTGCAAAAGAATCAGCTAAATGGAGATGCCAGTCTATGTTAAACCAAATCTGATCAGGTTTAAATATTACAACTTTTGAATTCACAGTAAACAGAATTGAATTGATTTGAAATGTTCTCATATTATGAGATGCTTTGTCTTTCTGTAACATGGTGTGGCATTTTATATATTTTTGGTATTTCTTAAGGAACAGTTTCTTTCTGATTTAATAGATATTAATAGAAAATAGAAAAACAGCAAATTCATGCAAAAAATGAGACCAGTTTTCCCATCTCTAAAGAACACCACTCATTCCTGTTAATACAGTTTTATTAGCCTTCATGTGAAGGACTGAAATACATTCATATCCTTTTATCTCACAACATCTGGTTTTGCTCAACAATCCAGGTGTTAAGGATCATGACATCTGCTGGTGGTGGCTGAAAAATGATCCTTCTGCTTGCCGCAGGCATCCACTTTAACCTCCTAGGACCTGGCGTCCACATATGTGGACATCACATTTTGGGTTATTTAGACCAAAATTGAGTATTTTGGTCTACAAGCGCCTGATATCCACTTACGAGGACATTATACTGCTACTGTTCTATCGAAATTTTAAATGAATATCCTCATATGTGGCTCTCATTTTTCTTAGAAACAAAAATTAGGTAAAAAAAAAATATATATATATATATATGGTAATTCTTTGTTTTTACATTCATCGGGTTCCAATATGAGCAAATATCAAAGAGAAATTAAAAATGCATGCGATGGAAGAGTTCGGGTCTTAGGAGAAGCCCTGCTTAAGCCCTCTCTCACTGGCGACTGACAGCACACAGCATATGGGATGAAGGAGGGGTGGTGAATCCCACAGCTGGTGTGAGATCCAGTTCATCCTCTGTGATTCCAGGTGGAGGAGTGAAATGAAAGCGCTGAATGAGGGAGGTGAAGAAGAGGAAGAGCTCCATCTTAGCCAGACCTTCTCCGAGACACATCCTGCGACCTGCAAATGCAAAGAGTTTACACTCATTTAAACGAATCATGTCTGCGCTAGTAAGAATTTTCTCAAAAAAGCCTGACAAAGTTGTCATACCTGCAGAAAAGGGCATGAAGGCATCGCTCCTGACAAATTGACACTTTTTGTCCAGAAAATGAGAAGGGTTAAAAGTGTGTGGGCTCTCCCATTCACTCTCATCATACAGGACAGAAGTAAGAAGGGGAAATACAATAGTTCCCTGTAGGCAAAAGAGCACATTTATCATAGATGTGCGATTCAAGTTATCAGAGGTGAATCAAAATGTCAAATAAAGGGTATTTTTTGTGGATGAGCAGTTGACCTTTTTGATAAAGTATCCCTGGAAGGTGACATCTCGGCTAGTTTGGTGAGGAAGACATACAGGTAGAATATTAGCCAGTCTCTGGATCTCGTGAATGACTGCATCAGTGTACGGCAGGTTTTTCCTATCATCAGCACTGACTTTTCGGCTTCCCACTACATGTCTCAGCTCCTCATGGACCTGCTCTGTAGACACAAAATAAATAGGTTTTGTCTGCATTCATTTTACCACATATTACCAATGATCACTTTATATTATAAACACAAAACCCTTACAATATTGCAGAGCAAAACCCAAAGATCAGACCATCCACTATGAACAAGTTATTGGTGGTAGTGGGGAGAAAGAACTCCCTTTTAACAGGAAGAGGTCTCTAGGAGACACAAGCTCAGAGTGGGACGGTCAAATTCTCCATCATGAGTACAGAGTTCAGGAGCAGACTGCCCTATTACAGTGGCTTGCAAAAGTATTTGGCCCCCTTGAACTTTTCCACATTTTGTCACATTACAACCACAAACATGAATCAATTTTATTGGAATTCCACGTGAAAGACCAACACAAAGTGGTGCACACGTGAGACGTAGAACAAAAATCATACATGATTCCAAACATTTTTTACAAATAAATAACTGAAAAGTGGGGTGTGCGTAATTATTCAGCTCCCTGAATCAATACTTTGTAGAACCACCTTTTGCTGCAATTACAGCTGCCAGTCTTTTAGGGTATGTCTCTACCAGCTTTGCACATGTAGAGACTGAAATCCTTGCCCATTCTTCTTTGCAAAACAGCTCCAGCTCAGTCAGATTAGATGGCTACATCCATCTTCCCATCAACTCTGACCAGCTTCCCTGTCCCTGCTGAAGAGAAGCACCCCCAGAGCATGATGCTGCCACCACCATATTTGACAGTGGGGATGGTGTGTTCAGAGAGATGTGCAGTGTTAGTTTTCCGGCACACATAGCGTTTTGCATTTTGGCCAAAAAGTTCCATTTTGGTCTCATCTGACCATAGCACCATCTTCTACATGTTTGCTGTGTCCCCCACATGAGATCTGAGCTGTAGATCTCTGCAGCTCGTCCAGAGTCACCATGTGCCTCTTGGCTGCATTTCTGATCAGCGCTCTCCTTGTTCGGCCTGTGAGTTTAGGTGGACGGCCTTGTCTTGGTAGGTTTGCAGTTGTGCCATACTCCTTCCATTTCTGAATGATCACTTGAACAGTGCTCCATGGGATGTTCAAGGCTTGGGAAATCTTTTTGTAGCCTAAGCCTGCTTTAAATTTCTCAGTAACTTTATCCCTTCATGGTGTTGTTGCTCCCAATATTCTCTTAGACAACCTCTGAGGCCGTCACAGAGCAGCTGTATTTGTACTGACATTAGATTACATGTGTGATTTTCGTTCCACTTCTCACGTGTGCACCACTTTGTGTTGGTCTTTCATGTGGAATTCCACTAAAATTGATTCATGTTTGTGGCTGTAATGTGACAAAATGTGGGAAAGTTCAAGGGGTCCGAAAACTTTTGCAAGCCACTGTATGTGCTTTACCTGTTTCTTTACCTCCACCCACTCCTGAACACGCCTGAAGAAATCAAGCATCTGTGAGGCACTTTGCAATCTGCTGACAACTATCCAAGCTGGGACCTGACTTTCAATTTTCACCTGAGTGCGGTCTAACCGCAGTAGCAATCTCCTCATCGTCTCTGTAAAAAACTCTCATTTTCTCTTCACAAAGATTTCTAACTCATATTTCCTCTGTTAAGGACGTCCCAGTGGAGTGTACGGGAGAGAGTTTTGTGTGGCTGAAGAGGAGGAATTTGTTTCAGCTCTGGAAGTTTGGAATCACCTCCCTTGTTGGACTTTGTAAATAAGAGACTCTTGAACTGTGAATGGCTAAAACACTTTGTAAATACCACAATTCACTGTCACTGTAAATGAAATCACTTAACTTGCACAAGTTCTGCGTTTGAGAACACATTATGATAATAGTATAATAACAAAACGGAAACACTGTTTTGAACACTAAGCCACTTTTTAAAATGTTAGAAAAGACAAAACATGCCGTCTTACTTTCTCTTTCTGCTTCCAAATCAAAAAACAGTCCACAAACCCTTGGCACATGTCAGGGTCCAGTGTCTCTTTCAGTTACGTAATTAAGTACTTTACATCTCTGATGGTCGTCTCAACATTTTTTAACACCACCTGATGGTTTTTAATCCATCTGAACAGCCGGGGAAACATGTTATAAAGCTGTAAAATTAAACAGTAACAAAGTAAAGATTCAAGTAATGCTTTCATTTTTACAGAAGCACCATCGTCATGCATTGTTTTACGTATACATTTGGTATTTTCCATATCTTTGTGACCACTTTATGCTTTCAATCACTATTTTAGATTTTGCCTTCCCATCATGAAATGTGAATATTTTTGTTTGGCTCAATGGACAACAGTAAAACAGTAAAAAACTGATATACAGACAGAGTCTGCTTCAACATAAAATCAGATGTTTACCATTCAGTTTATGCCACACAGGTAACAATAGTCACTGTTAATATTTTATGTCATTCTTTTTTTTTTAAAAGAGAGTAAAAAAAAGGGGGGGTGAAAAAGCAAATCTGGACTGATGCAGAACCTGTGACACATGTGGCATGATTGGCTCGCTTCACCATTTTTGTGAATATCGGGTCATTGTAGTCAAATCTACATCCGTACACAACGGAGAAGATAATATTGGCTGTTGCATAATTTATTGGAAGTGCTGTATCAAATGGTTCTCCTGTAACCCAACATGTGGACAAGATTAAGACATTAATAATTAATTCTGATAGCATTAAAACAAACCTCAGCAAAATTAAATTGGTCTTTGTTTTAACACTGCGTATACATGCTATCTCCATACCTTTATGCTCTTCGATCACTTGAATGAGATAGCGACACTCTGCCAAGATTTTATGAGAAAGTCTTTTGCCGAACTCAAAGTCTTTGAGGGTGGTGAGAGCAAAATATCTCAGCTCTTTCCATGATTCTCCATTTGCAAACAGAATCCCTACAAGACATAAAATTTTACAACAGAAGGTCAGTTAATTACAGTTTACAAGCAGTGTTGGGTTTAACACATTAATTTGTTGCTTTGTGACCCTTTATATCCTGATACAACCCTCCCAGGGATGCGTGTTCCACCTGGTTTCAGAGTGGGAATCTTTCCCTGCCCGTTAAGCGAACATGTTAACTTTGAAACAGGGTGCAAAGTAACGCGTTACTGTAATCTTATGAGATTTTTCAGTAACGTACAGCTCAACAACAAAGATAGTGCAACACCAGACAGAACAGAACGATACAGTCAGTAGACAGTGCAGACACCTGTGCAATAGAAATGTGCAAAAGACTGAACATCCAAAAATCGAAAGTCATATCATTCAGTGATTCAGTAAAAAGGACCAGATGTTACAGTCCTTGATTGTGCATTGCTTTAGATGGAGAGACTCTTGAGGGATGGCTGTTATGAGGAAAGCCCAAAAACTTGAAAGTTGAGGCACACAACATCGTTGTGTGCCTCAACTTTCGGTCTTTTACCCAGGCTAAGCTGCCATTTTCCTTCCTTGGTTAGGTTTGGGGATTAGAGATCTGATCTAGAGTATCATTTTAAAATTTGGGACACATCGTCAGTTGTGGACCTTGGATTCATCTGGTGTTTCGGCCGTTATCACTAGACACCCACATCCAAGGAGGCCCTGCCACGGTTGATCAGGCCCTGGAGTGTGTCCCTGGTTTATGTTAAACTGTTATTTCTCTTCTTTCTTCTGTTTAGTTTCCTACAGTTTATTTTCTATCTATTCACTGCAACTGAGAAATAATACTTACCTCTTTAGTATTATGGAGCCTAACTTTTTCAAGGGGATAGAAAAGGTGATAGAGAGAAGAAAGACAAAACGGACAAGGTAGGAGAGAGGAGCACCGGAAGGGGGGCACCCGATCTGGCTTCCCACACCTCCCCACCGGATTGGGCTATACACTCCTCCCCACTGCCTCCCAGAAAAGGGAAGAAGAGCAGAGGGGAGTAGAGCGGAATATTTCTTTTCTCTCGCGGTTAGCTGACTGCCTTAGCTGCCCAAGTGATGTCAGCCCTTTTTAGCCATAGCCAGTGACTGGTGTGGGGATTAGAGAAATATTTTGCTGCTGTTGTTAATAATCATCATCATTACCATTGCATTAATAATTAATATTGATATTGCATTCATATGTTTTAAACATATTGGTACCCAATTAGCCTTTATTACAGGTTGTAGGAATGTTTAGCTTATTTTAGAGTTTAAAAATGTGTTAACATAGAATCTAGCATTATTGTAGAGACACTGACACTGCCCTCAATGTAATAAAGGCCTGATTGTGTCATGAACTTAGGAGTAGAGTATAGGAGACCCTCCCCAGTTGAACTGTGAAAGTAAAACAGAGAGGAGTTAATGCTGAGTGGAAATTCCCCAGAGAATGTTTGGGTGGGGGTCTCAACATTTGTAACTGGATAACTTTGGTCTGGAAGGGAGATGGGTTTTTATGACCTCTAGGGAGTCACCTACACCCACAGTGTTTTAACTGTCACGCACACACATCCACACGCACACTCACTCATGTGCGCTCACATAGACAGACGTGCACACAGACACAGACACAGAGTTTGCAGCACACCGTGGGGGGTTTTATGATAGGGTCGCCCCTACAAAACTGTGTTTCAAAGGAGTGAAGATTTTGCAGAGGGACACACCGGCCTCGTCTTCCCTTCTAGAAATGCATGCTTAAATGAAGATGAATAAAGGTTTTGTGAAATAACTACTGAGTTCCGGTGCCGTCTCTGGAAGTTTCGACGAATAAAAGAACCGGGGTGAAACTGATTTCGTAACAAGGTGCAGTTATCAATAATCTTAAATCCTTTTGAATGCTTGTTATAATCTTAAATGTGTACGTGTTGGCCTTCTGTCTGGTGGAAAGGTTACAAGGTTTAGCTGGTGAGGTGAGAGGTGAAACTGAGTGCATTTCAGGTTGACACACACACACTTACACAGCAGTTAGACTCAGGGGTAGGTGAAGGTTCAAATGATATTTTGTAAAAGCTTGCAACTGCAAAATTGTGCCTGCAAGAGAACAGTTTGTTGCAGAATGTGTGCCTGATGTTCCAGACAATAAGCGGGCAGGACATGCGACAGGAAGACACCTGGGATGGAGACGAGGCGGTGTTCTTTTCAAACTGTGTTAAAAGTCATTGTGGTTTTGATTTGACGTATGCATGTATTGTATCTGATGACGCATGAGGGGGCGTTAACCCTGATGAATCAAAATCAATCTGAAGTGTCTTTTTGGGCAGATCTACAGCTGATGTTTTGCAGTGTACATCTCCCCACGCTGCGTATGGTCATTAAAATCAATTGTTTGACCAAGCTCTTCTGGACCATGGTTGTTTTTACTCTCGTCCTCAACATTGAACCCTTAAACTAGGGTGATGTTTTTTTGTGAAGAAACTTTAGCACAATAGCACACATCACATTATCTGCTGCCTGCAGACTTATCCATGTTTGAAGTTATCACCACATGATTGGAAAACCTTGGACTGACTTTTCGAGTTGTTAACTACAGTCATCTGACCTCTTACCTGATTGCTGATGTTAAAGTAAATTTACACATGAAAGAAAAAAGATATCCAGGTCTGTTAAACATGCTCTTTTCTACCGGTCACAGATCTTACACTGACCTGTCTGCACTGACCTGTCTGATAGTGGGTGACACTGACCTGTCACCCACTATCATGAACCAAGCATCTAGGAACACACAGGCACAAATGTAATCTTCAAAAAAATAGATTTTATTATACCCCCCAAAAAAGACAAGATGATTACAAAAATTCAAAATGACAAAAATAAACTTTTTTTTTTAGAACCAAGTCGGCCCATAGAAGAGGTTAAACTAACAACACTCTACTCAAAAGTCACTTAACAAAACATAACTCAACAAACTGACCTGCCCAAATGAGAAAAAGCTCCAGTTATATAGCAAATGAATAAATCATGATATACCCCAAAGGTGAAAACTAGAGAGATAACAGCTAACGCTTATTTAAGAAGAACCCCATTCCCCCTACATGATCGCAATAGATGGTCCAGTCCATTTTATTGGCTTCTGAATTTAAACCAGCTCCACCCTCAGCCTCCTCTTTCAGGACTAGAGCAGAGGCCAGGTTACTCAGAAAGAACTGAAATATAATTAATATAACATATAACCATATAAAATAACAAACAATGCAAAACAGAGTCTATGCCACCATTTGCACTATAGCTTAGTGCTGTCATGCATTACAGGTAAACATTACAGGTATTAAATTAGTTAATTTATGATCACAGAAGCTTTAGAGCATAATGAAAACATAAAACAAAAAGGTCAAATGAATATTACCCAAGTATTTCAATTGTGTGGTTGCATGCAGCCATCACACCCACTGAAAACATTTGGATCATTATGAAATGATAAATATGATAAAGTAGGACCTCAACTGCGGAGAATGAGAAATACATGCTGAAACACATCGCTGCCAATACATTACAAAGGACTTTTATTTTATGTATATTTTAGACAGCTTCTCAACTGGTAGAAACAGGGCTGTATGTCTCCATTATCTGCAGGTCCATCAGGGTCACTTCTCAAAAAATATAATGATTTACACATTACTTATTACTTTTCTTTAAAAAAAAAAATGCAGTATGCCACTTAATTTCCTGCTATATAAACTAATTAATTACACTACTCGTCACATTACCTTCCCGTTACTATGTAAAATGACATGAAACACAACAATCACATAATTACGGTTATTACTACTAGTACT